AAGACTAAGAATTTTGTTCCCAGACCTCCTACCTCTAAACACGAATATAGCCTGCTTGGGTCGCTTGGTCAGGAATTGCCTGGCGCTTACGCCACGGTCCCACGCCTTAAAGGCACATCCGCGATAAAATAACGCTATGACCTCTCGAATGTGTCGGACGATCCGGAAGGCGATTTTGAGGCTGCGCTACTTTCAAAATGTGAAAAACGGCAAGAACTCCGCTAGAAGCTGACCAATTAGGCCAAGACACCCCTTAGGCCCATGCCGACCCTCACCGGCTGCTAGCTACTAGCTAGTAGCCACTATGTTATCTTACTCTATAACATTTCAGACTGCTTTTTCTGCTGCTTTTCTCCGCTCATCAGATACTTAGCACTTTCTTGTGCCTATCTGAGTTCCGTTTCCCGCAATTGCGGTTCGCGAACTGTGCCTCTCTGCGCTCCAACCGCTGTGGAGAGTGCGTATCACCAGCAATGGAGAGTACTAGAGGCGCCGCGCGCGACACGTGCTGCGCGGACGGTATAGGAGTGAATGCGGTCAAAGTTCTCCACGTCCGTACTCGTCTGAGACGCCGCCTCAGTGCTGAGAGGAGGTTGCTTTTAGGGTTTACCCGAGGTTTTCTTATCGATTTTTTCTATGAGGAGCTACTTATTGGACAGTGGTTCATGCCTGAGCACCAACTACCCGTAACACTTAGTCGTGTCTTCAAATGGATTCGGTACATTTTCTGGAGCTCAGAAGCTTGACCCCTTCGAGGTCTTTTGCCATTACGCCCTGAGTCGCAATGAGAGGAACGAGCTCGCGCATAATCCTTACTTTACCGCAGCCGTGATGTCCACCTCCTTTGTCAAGACCTACGAAGTGTACAGTTGCTTTAACCCCATCATACATATCCTACACTATAAAAACGAGATTCTAAAACATTCCGATGTCTGAGCGCTCTCCAGAGCACAGGCCGACGTGGACGGGCGAATGTCTTCCAAATGTCTAGGAAAACTAAGTAACAGGAAAGTCGCTTTACGCTATGGCTCTCCACCTTCTGCTTGTCGATCAAAAGAGCATGAGCGGTGTACTTACCAGGCGTGAAGCTGTACTGTTTCTGTGAAACAGGGACAAGCTCCCCTGATATTGTATTGACAAGTTGGAGCGCTCACCAGGGAAGGTTGACAGGTCAGTCCGGCTATTGCAATATGATGTACACCGCTGTGCACGTCTTGTGACGCTGAGCTCAAAACTTTCTTTGAAATTTGCTGAACGACTCTCTGAACAGAGTTATGAAGGGTTTTCTCTCAGCCTTGTTTCACATGCTATCTCATAGAGTTATGGAGGCGTCTTCAAATAAGTGAGGAGAGGATAATCAAACGTGGCAGTGAAGTGCAACAGAAGTGATCGGGTTTGATAAGCATGAAGTCACGGGATCCGTTTTCTAGGAACATGGTAAACAAAGCTTCAAACATCCCTGCTCGCCCGTTCTCGCCTGTACGAGGACCTGCGATCAGTATTCCACCAGTGTAGAACCCTCGTAGCTTCTAAAGGTGTTTATGTTCGCCCCTCTGGTAACACACGTCACAAGGGCTTCAGTCAACTAGTGGGATGTTCATGTTCAGGGTCAGACTACCCCTATAGATACGTTTCTAGCCAAATGTGAGACGTTCACACTACTTCGGAAACGTGGGTTTCTACGAAGTAATGTGTGAACACACTGGAGCTCACCCTTCCACCGATGACTCTATCCTTATTACGCTGGAATACGGCCGCCCCCGCTATCAGGAAAATTTTGATGATGACAACACGTAAGCCAGGCACTGTTGTTCACGAAAATGCATGAGCAATGAGTCATTCAGCACAAATACCACTCATCGGTGATAGACTAGATCTTACCTCACATTTTTCGGAGTTGAGTGAAAATCTCAGATTTCGCCGGAGTTCCGTCCCCGGTGGTTATTTGACTTCGTGAACATTTGATATGACATTTACACATTTGACTCCGTTATGAGCAAATGTGATTATGTCGCGCGCTACAGGCCCCGGCCGCTGGGGCCAGCGTGCTTTTCAGAGAAATGCGAGAGGAAAAACCTCTATAACTTCTTTCAGAGTACCGTTCAGCAAATTCCAAAGGTAGGTTTAATTTCACCGTGCCAGGGGGTACAACGATGTGCACCTCATTCGGAATTGCCTGACTGACCTGTTGACCTTTTCCTGTCAGTTATCAGAAAATGAGGATGATTGTGCGGCTCTTCCACGCATCCGTCACCCATCGTTCGGCTGTTATTTTGAATTTCGGTGTGCCAACTTGCCGCCCGCTCTGCAAAGGGTTTCTGCGACGACTTTCGAAGAAGTGCTTTATCGAAAGCAGTGGGCACGATATTTCGGTTCTCTGCAGAATACGGGAGAGAATATTTCTGTTGTATGGCAGTAAGGCAAAAATGGGACGACACGGTTTAAAACGCCTAAAGTAATACGCTCGTCAACCGCTCCAACTGAAGTGTACGAGATTATGCCTGAGATTGAAGCGTATAATGTCAATGTCCTAAAAAAATCATGGATATTACAGTTTTTTCTTTTTTTTCAAAACTTTTTGCATTTTTGGACTGCTACATGAAGCCGCGTTCACCAGGACAGCCTCCGCTCACTTCAAAGAAGCCGCGCCCGCTTTTCAAAAACGATGCAGCTCGGCAGTATAGAGTCTTGGCTTACATGCTAGGGCATTGCTGGTCATTCGGAACAAACCTGTATCTGTTCCGAGTGACGGTAGACAGCCCAGCTTGAGCGGAGCTTCTTCGGAGTGGAGGGAGCCTCTCACAATAGCCTGGGCTTCATGTGGCAATCCCTTCAAAGAATGGCGGGGTCGGCCATTTGTCGATGTTTAGTGGTTTTTAGGCAAAGAGTACGTGGTAACCGGCAAAAGACAAAAAAGTCACAGAAGCAGAAGTTACGAAACAAAATGTAAAATCCATATCCGCTGACAAGTATGTATGACCGTAGGGGCGGGGCTCGCAGTGGTGTCTAGCGTGACCTGGTTGAAGACTTTCGCGGTCTAAAGTGTGATGAATTTGATTTGGAAAGTGATGAGTTTAATTTGGAAAAAGTGAATTTGGTTTCAAAAGTGTTGAATTTGATTTGGGAAATGGTGAATTTGGTTTGAAAAAAGGTGAGTTCAAAGTGAAAATGGTGTATACAGCCCATAACGCCTATAACTTCTCCCTAACTTTACACTGGCTTGGAAGAGTCTTGGAAGAATCTGGATCGGATACAAAAAAAGTGCCATGGACATGAAAAAGGTCATCATGAAGTTGCACTTTTTCAGCGTATCTTGAAAGTTCCAGAACGCATTGTACTGTTGTGTGCGCAACAATAAAACCGCAGTCAACGTTTCAAGGGCATCTAGATAATTTTTGACATCTACACATTAGGGTGGATGCATCAACGACCACTCACAGGCTGGTTCCTAGTCCCTTCCGTCTAGTTTGCAACCAAGCTCAATAGCATTAATGAGACAAATCTAATTTAATGGAATGTCGGAAGAACACTAAGAACGCTAGGAATGAAGGCTAAGATGTGATCGAAACTCGCTGTTCAGCTAAGACAATCAGAGGGTCAAAGTAGAGCCTGCCCTCCGCACCTTCACTGACACTAGAAAGAAGAGCGTCTTGTGTAAACAGCCCAAAACGGCATGGTACTTCTCGAAGAAGGGGCGACTAGGGATCAGTCTAGCGATGCGACTGGCATTTACGCATGCCACGATTCTGTCTCCCCTTTTCCGTTTGCGCGCTGTTTTTTTCTTTAAGACCAAGGAGGAAAAAGAATATCGTGAAATCGGTGCTAAAAGAATGTTCTCAATATTGTCAATGTGGTTTTTTTTATTTGTGTCCAACGCACACATTGTGTTACAGTCATCACCCCTGCAAACCAGAGGTGATGTGGATTGGAACGCGACCAGGGAGCTTAGGAATGACTTTATATAGATTCAAAAATGGCTGCACCGCTGCGCTTCAGTCCACGCCTCTTCAAGGGTTCAAAAGCGCAGCGACAAAAGCGCAGTTAAAGTCAAGTGAAAAGAGCGTGCAGTGGTGTCCTCATGGTCTCATCGATTGAAGAGCAGACTTGCGCTGTGAAAGTTCCTCATGTGTGAAAATCATCCCGAAAATGAACAGCCAATACTCATTGAAGCATGTAGTAACATGTATAAGGTCATGTTTTGTCTTTTTGCATTATCCTACCATACCTGAGGACCATGACCAAGCCAGATTCTTTCTGCAGTAATGCGAAGCAGAATCATTGCTGAGACTGCTTTCAGAATCGCAAAGAACCAGGCGTTAAGGGAGCTGTGTTTGTCCAAGAAGTCTCAGATTCCACAACAATTCACTATGTTGATAGTTTTGAACGAACTAAACACATTCCAGCATAATTCAATACAAATACAGAAAGAAGACGTTCACTCGGAGTAGAGCGACCTGTTTTGGAGCTCGGGCCACCTTTGCCTTGGCATACAGAAAATTGCTGTGCTCTACTTAATCTTAGATGTACAAGTGTTTTGCTCTGCTAAATCAAGAGTCACAGCATATAAATCTCACACAGAAATCAGCAGAAGAGTGGTCTGCTTCTCTTAATGCCCAGGTTGTAAGCAGAACTATGTTGCATATAGCCTCGGAACGAGGAGAGGTCACACTGGATAGTGTCGAAGAGAAATGCAGAAATCCTATTTCTAGATACGTTTATAGCTCGAGCTCATTCCGGTATTCGTGTTCTTGGGAGATCTGCTGGCCTGCGAGATGTGGGGGTAGCAGCAAATATTCCATCCTCGATCCTGAAAAGACATTTGCTTCGAAATCGTTTTTATGACCGTCTTTGCACAGCGCCTTCCTGTGTTATCTGTTCATTCGGGAACGGATGGGTTTGTACGACATTGGGTGTATTATAGCTTATCTTGTGACTAAAAAGATTGGGGAAACCGGGATTTTTTTTTTGCTTGCGTTCGCATCGAGGAACACTTCGATGGCATGCAGGAGTGTGAAGTTGCTACATTTCTGGGAGAGCACAGAGTATGGTGCCATGGAAACACATGTTATGCGTTGACGGTAACGATAATACTGCGTGAACTGGATATTGCGGCGCGTCGAACGTTAGAGGCCTTTTGGATCACCTCCGGGAAGAAAGTGCGGCATTCGCTGCAGAGCTGTCGCCCTTCACGGGCCGATAGCTCTGTGGTTTCGACCTATGCGGTCGAGCCCCAGCGGGGTCTTGCCGGGGCTTTGAACAGTAATCGATAGGAGGAGTTCATTCCGGGTCAGTGGCTTCTCACTGGCTGCTTGATTTACCTGATCAATCCTCTGGAGGGACCCTTGAGCAAGTGGTCTATGAAGTGACCCTAATCAAACTGTGTTTCTACCAACTCAGCGTAACAGTTGGTCCTCTCTGATTAGTTTTTAGAACTCCTGTGACAACGCTTTGGTAGTTTACTTCCTCTTGAAGTTTTCCAGTAAGTCGAAATAACGTCTGGATAAAGGTTTCCTAAGTTTTTCAACTCTCAAGGCTGTGACACATTTGGGAAGCTAAACCAGGCCCGCGGAATAGGGTATAAATAGTCCCTCGGGCTGGCAAATCTTTCTTGTCCAGTGCGCCGCCACGTGAACTCGAACTTGTAGTAATACCAAGTAGTTTACACCACAGTTCACCTGAAAGGGGTGCGCTCTTCTTCTAGACCGCGGTTTTGAGTGGGACGTATCGACAAATGTGTTGCGAGTCGGTGTTCACCTGCAGGCAGCACATTCACCCCAAGGGTGGTGATGTACTAAGTGAGCGCCGCCTACGCCTGGCTCGGCAGATACCGAGCGGGGACTTATTGCTTCAAACGACGCTTACAAGTTACACTTTACATCACTGCACTTGTCGGGTCGCAATCAGCGGTTCGCACCTGCTACGTTTCCATCATTGGTTGGTCCCTCCCTAGATCGATCTTTACACGATCGCCATTGGTAGAGCAACGAGGCCGAACGCCCATTTGCACCGCGTTGCACAGCCGCCCTCCGACAGTCCGCAATGATGAGGACTATACGAGTTTGAGCCCTCATTTTCAGCATTGCGCGACATGTAAAGGTACTGCGGGGTTATACCGCTAGGGATACTGCGTGGTTGATCACCACGAAATCTCATCCTACTATATATAATCTGCTGTGTCCGTGTGTGTGTGCGTCTGTCTGTCTGTCACGAAATTTACAGCGCCGGTTTCAGTAGCAATGAGACATTGATTTCAAGAAGTGATGTAGGAGGCGTGACAGGAACACTAAGTGGGTGACAGGATGTGGTATCAGTTGATAAGATCCGATAAGAGGCGTTAGAAGGGCAAGGTTACCATATTCATAACGCGAGTGACAGCATCAGCTAGCTGCTGATTCCAAGATATGATGTAGGGTATGGGCCAAGCAAATTATTGGTGGGTGACAAGAACTATAAGCTGCTGACAAGATTCAATAAGGGGCGTTAGAAAGTGAGCCGTCATTATTTAGGTTGTCCGGAAGTTCTTAGCGTTTTGGGTGTTTCACTTCAAACGATCGTAAACTTTTTCTATACTCATTCGGATTTGATCGAAATAGGCACCTTCGAATCAGCCACACGTTTTGCCAATGTGGACAGCGGTCGAGAAATCCCATCAAAAAATAAAAAACTGGTGTCAAAAATTCACGAAATCCACGAAGGCTTTTTACCTGGTCCTGTTTGATGAAGTATTTCCCAGCAAGGAAGTTCTGAAATGTTCGGAAGGTGATAGTCGATTGGTGGAAGGTCTGGAGAATATGGCGGTTGAGGGTAGAACTTCAACCCCCAATTCGTTCATTTTATGGATAGTGATTGTGAAACATGTGGGCGGGCGTTGTCATGCAAAAGAATCGGCCTTTCTTTTGATAAGTGTTGGCCTGCATTTGACAAAATTTTCGATACATTTCGTCGGATTCTTCACAGTAGGGTTCTTGATGTGATGGTTTGGCTGGTAATAAAAAGTTATAGCGGATCACACCAGCCCGATGACCACCAAGCCGTGACCAGGATCTTTTTCGTGAAGGTTTGGCTTTGAAAATTACCACGGGGGGGGGGCCGTGGTTTCGTCTAAATTCAACCACTGTCTGACCGTCTCCTGTTATCATACATGACCCATTTTTCATCACAGGTGACAATTCGGTCCAAAAACAGGTCGTTTCGGTTGCGCAAAAAGCAGTGAAGAAGGAACCTCGAGACGTGCCGATTCCTGCCGGTCACCTCCGATTGTGGGGCACCCAGTTGTCAAGTTTTTTCACTTCCCGATGCGTTCCAGACCATCTGCAACAGTGGATTTCCTAAGGCCTAGCTCTTCTGCTATCTCTCGAACTGTTTGGGATGGGGCAGCCTCCAAAATCCCCTCAAATCCTCGTCAGATATTGCTCTAGTCGACCGCTATGAGGTTCATCTCAAGGCTGGAAATCTCCAGAAACGAAATTTTTAAAGCCATTGCCGCACATGTGCTTTCTCTAGCACTATTGGGGCCCTCACACCTGGTTAATTTGTTGAGCTGTTTCGATTGCGGATCGCCCGAATTTATAAGTCGAAGAAAACAAGATCGTCCGAAGTGCTCTTTTCACATGCTTGAAAAAATCTTGGAAAAAGGGGATTTATTAAAGCAATGGTGAAATGGCAATTATACCATCAGATAGCGCAAGAAATTCTCTACAGGATATGCTACTGAGAAGTAAGGCAGAATGAGTTTTTAATCAGCAGTGAATGTACAAAATTTAGGTGCACAAAACGCTAAGAACTTTCCGGACAACCTAATATTTCAGCGCGGGCCACAACATCAGAGAGGCGTGTCTTTCACTAGTTGAGGTGAGATGGGTGCCCGGATGCGATAACTTCTGATAATGGCTGATAAAGGAAGTTGCAGTCGTCCTCACTGTTCTAGGTGTTTTACGCAAGGTCATAGACTTTTTGTGACAAGGACATGGACGTGTAACATTTAATCTTATTAATCGATGAAAACGGATTGGATACCATCTACGCTACATTTTCATCACTTCATACCGCTTCAGTGCCGAGTAGTGTTGACTCTTTTCTTTGATGGCAACATAATCGAGGTCGTTGCTTTTAGATTCACTGCTTCTGGATGCAATGGTTCAAGCGGAGAGGGCGGGAAAATCGAGGGATTCATCAATCAAAATGATTTTCGCAGTAAGGTCCCTTTTCAGTGACACCCGTGACTCTGCAGTTATGTCTCCCCCGAATGTTAAGGACTCATCCGGACTCAGTCAACGTTACCCAGGCTGATGTCGCAACTGCGGTCCTCAATGATATCGTGCAGCCTTCTCGCGGTTGAAAGTCTGTAGTAAATAAAAGGGACCAGATATTGATATACATGACATTTCAACTCAATCTGACGGCGTCTATGCCTCTGCTGAGATACTTTCATCTTGATTGCTGTCGTGTTTTTGTCCAACAGAACAGAACAAGATGACAGTTGTCCAGAGTGGAGTATTCCACGAGTAACCAGCTTCGTGCCATGTTGAAATGCCAGGCCTGCTCTGGCTCAGGGATGAGGAGTATAGATAATGGCTGATGTTGAGCTTCTTTCAACTCATTTCCCTACATCTCAATAAAGAAGCAGCTGTCACCGTTTGGCACATTCAGCACATTCTACCTCGCCCAGGGGATGAAACAGAAGGAGGAGCACCCGGATCCGAATGGTAATGAAATAGATGAAAAAAGGGAATGAAACAACACCATGTTCTCCAACTAAAACTCACGTGGGCCAACGCCCAGCTAGCAGACAAAGGAGGCTTTGGATTGTTTCAGATAATGGTTTTATGGGCCCAGGCCCCACGTCTCCGCCGCGGAATCATGGAGTATACGAGAAAAAAGCCGTGACTCACTTAACTTAGTTCCTCCCGTGCTGTTGAGCACATCGGGCGACGATTTCTTTCCACTATTGTCGGTCTTTCGCGATTTCCTCAGCCTGGTCCCTAGACGCATTCATGATTCGCAAGTCATCTTCGAATGTACGTCTCCACGTGTTTCGGGGACGGCCTCGTGCTTGATTGACTCCTGGAGGAATCCAGAGCATGGCCACTCTTGGGATTCGATGTTGTGGCATGCGCAGTATGTAGCCAGCCAGTCGAACCCTACGCCGTGCCACAATCTCGTGAAGGCTGCTCATACCGCACCCTTGAGAACTTCCTCATTCGTGACACGGTCTACGTATATTATCTTCATGATTCGCCGAAGACATTGCTAGTGGAGGGTGTTCATTTTTGGCGAACCTTGGCGGACACCTTCCACATTTCGCTTATATAGAGTGCTGTGGGAATAACGATGGACGAGTAAAGTTTTGTTTAATGCTACGCGATATTGATATTCTCCATATCGGCAGCAGTCGTCTAAACACAGCACTGCTTTTGCAAGCGTGCACAGACATCCGTTTGAGCATCACCAGTGGGCTGACCACGCTACCGAGCTAAGTGAACGTTTCGACATTCTCTAGCGACGTAGTGTCGATGTTTATATCAACCTATCTGCTAATTCCTACGTGCATGGCCTTGGACTTCTCAGAACTTATTCGCAAGTCTACGATGCTTGCTTCCTTACTGAGGTTCGTAGTGCTATCTTAAAGTTCATCATTATCCTTAGCAATCAACGCAGTGTCCAAGTCTTTGAGATGGAATCGAAGGCCAATCGATCCTCGTTTTGCGCGATTCTCATTCTGCGTTCACCTTCGCTCTTCTTATAACAAAGTCGAGGCAGATATTGAACAGAATCGAAGACAGAATGCATATCTGTCGTACTCCAGTGACAATTTCAGAGAATGGTGTATAGCCGACATTCGTTCTAACATAGCACGAAGAGTTGGGATACAAGCTCTTGAGTATGCTGATTTAGGGCGAAGGTTCACCGTGTAACTTGAAGGTGGCCAGAAACGATTTGCGGTATATGCTATCAAATACTTTTCCAAAATCGACAAAATTTATGAAGAGAGAATGACGGAATTCTATGCACTGTTCGCTTATGTAGCGTATCTGTTCGCAACACGACTTTCCGCTCTTTAATTCGGCTTGTTCCTCTCAGTCGATGACTCAACGTAGTCGCCGTAGCAGTACCGTACAAAATACCTTTCCAGGCACAGACTAGCGAAATTCCCTTCCAGTTTCCACATTCTGTCAGGTCCCCTTTTTTGGGCAATTTGACGATAACTCCTTACCTCCAGTCCTCCGGAACTTTTCCACGAGTTCAATATTCATTGAACAGTCTCGTCAACACTTTGCACTGGGTCTTCCTTCCGCTTTCATCAACTCCGGTGCGATTTCGTCAAGACCAGATGCTTTTTTGTTTCAAGGCATTTGATTGATTGTTTCGTTTCTTCAACTGTTATGGAACTGATATCAACGTCAAGCTCATCAGAGCCTTCCATCTCTACAAAACAATGTGTCTCCATTAGTCTCCGCTGGATAAGAGCATCGTGGAAGTGTTCAAGCCATCTTTCGTTCTGCCTCATCGCTCAGGAGCAGCCTGTCATTGCTGTCCTTAATGGGCACGTTGGAGTTATTCGAGTTTCCAGTCAGTTCACCGATAATGAAAGAGTTCTTGAGTCTCCGCGATCCGTCTGAGCTTCAGCACCTTTCTGCGTGAGCCGCTCCTTCTTTTCGGCAGAGCTTTTTCACCATACGATCTAGCTCAGCGTATTTCCAACTCGCTTCCTGTAGTTCATTAAACGTCTTGGCTTGTTCTTCTTGAACCTTCGCGCGCTTCCTCTCGTCTATTTTTTGCCAAGTCCTGTCTTGAATAAATTGCTCCTTCCGATTCCCTCGTCTTCGACCAACTTTTGCCTCCGCACTTTCCGTGATTTTTTCTGACTGCTTTCCGTTTTTCTTCGAACGCGGCGAAACGATTCCGCAGCTCCACGTTGAATGCTGCAGCAACTGTAGGACTCTTCAGTCTCCCCACATCAAAAGCTCTGGCGGTGAAAGTCTTTCTCTGCCGCTTTAGCTCAATTTTGACTGCAGCCCTCACCAAATGATAGTCTGAGCCAATATCTGCACCACGATATGCTCGAGCATCCTGCAAAGATGATACCCATTTTCGGCGTATACATATACGATCGAACTCTTTGAACGACATTCCGTCAGGAGAGCTCCATTTTTTCTTGTGAACCTCTCTAGGTTGGGAGTAGATGTTTCCAATACAAAGCTCGTTGTGATCGCAGAATGACACCAAACGTCGCCAAACGACTGGAGGACGCAAACGGGCTAATCGTTCTCTCAAATCCCTGTCGTTCGCTGCATAACTGAGCATTGAAGTTGCCTGGCACTATCTAGAGGTCTCTAATTCAAGAGTGTTTTGAAGATGCTCGTAAAACTCGTTCTTGGCTTCGTCGCTCGCATCCTCAGTAGGTGCGTAGACTTGGATGACACTGATGCAGTATGCCGGTAATTATCCTCTCGCTTACTGGCTTCCATCCAACCAAGGCGTTAGTGGCTCTTCTGCTTAGAACAGGTCCAACCCCTTTCTCGTGTTTCTCTCCGTTGCCGTACAACACTGTTTTGTTATCGCGGCCAACTTAGCCGCCGTACTTCACTTATTATAAGTATGTCCAATACCTGTCGAATTCTCGAAGAAGTTGTGCGAGGCTGCCAGTTCGAACGTGCGTACATTGTACCAACAAAAGTTTTGTTTTTGGTCCAGAAAACCGAACTCAGAATCAGGGCATCCGTCACGAGGCTAAAATCCGATTTTCTCGATTCTACAGCTTAACGCTTTATCTTCAGTCGTCGTTTCTTTAACGTGTTTTTTTTACAGTGGAAGGGTTGCTAGCCCTTCGCACCAACCCTCCTTCTTTGTAATCCCGAATTGGGCCAGGCAACGGCGAAGTTAAAAGCCGTTAAGACAGGCAATAATAACTAAACTAACCACGTCGCTGCGCAACCACGGTAGCTCGTAATTGGTCACTGCCGCCGTTACGCGTGAGCACCGGCGCTCCTTGAATGATTTCCCTCGGCGACGATCTTCGCGATCCGCGACAAGAAGCACTTTAACGCCTCCGTGAAGTGCTTTGGGATAATACGGTCTTTTGTCATGCTGTTCTAATCTGCTTCTGCCTTTTTCCGAGACCTTAGAGGTTTCATTTGTACTCCCATGTTCAAAAAAAAAGAAAATTCTCTGCAGATACCACGAATTCCCATTTTAACGCCTAGCGTTTCAGGGCATGCATTGCATCGACTGCACGAAACGCAAAGAGATGGATGTATTCTTCATAATGCACGCTTCTGATGAATCTACGGGATACTTTGTGAGTTTTTTCAATATTCTGATGCGAGTTGGCCGGTACATACTATCGCATGCATCACACGGGGATCCCTATGGAGATCTAGCATCAACCTCTGCTCTGACTACAACCAAATTATCGCAAAAGGCCATCCTTCTCTGGAACAACGCCAAGCGTATCAAGATTTCGGAAAATTGCGGTAATTTCCTCTGTTTCAGGAACACCATACATCCGCCCTTGTTCCTTCCCCGTCTCCCCACTGCCCACTCGACAGAGAGCTCAATCGGACCTTAGCACTTGTGCCCCAAAAAGATTCAAAGGCTGAAGGACCGAAGCTGATGGGACCATGGGACCACAGCGAAGTGGATGAATATGAAACCATGCCCAGTTACCGGACATTCTTTCAACTGGCCGAACTGAAAAAAAGAAAGACTGGACTGGAACAAGCTGACGCCGTTTTTTTTTCAGCTAACCTCGTGAGGGGCAGGGAGTAATAGCAGGAAATTCAGAATCATTTGTAGGTTAAGGCGTTTCCCTACAAAGCCAAAGCTAATCTCAAGAAATGTGGCAAAACTTTGCCCCATTCCAATAAATAGGGAGATGGCTCCAGTTGAAGGGAGATTCGAGAGATGCAGAGTAGAGAAATCGTAAGGAAAACTGTCAGGCGGAGGTGTAGTAGCAAGCGTGCTGTCCAAGAGTTATTCTAGGATGGGACCCTCTCCAGGCCACTCAACTTAGAGTTCAGAGTTTCTATCCACCAGTATGGATTTGATACCCATGCACACGACATGTATTGCAGCAGCTCCGCTGTAGTATCAGGTGGTATCAGTTCCATTTCCGTGGTAAGAAACACTGGTCTGCAAGTCGTTCAATTTCCTCGAAGTGTTGTGTACATGTTGGCTGGTCGCACGCTGTCCGTGCGTGACACAGGGATTCCAATAACAATCAGTACTAACAGAATGACTCAATAGAAGAACTTCTTTGCTTGGTCGAGATTGCTCTGGCTAAGATCTCATGCTGAATGAAGCTTGTAAGACAGAGCAGCAATGAGATGGCCGAGGTGCAGCATTGTTGGTACATCCCATCAGGAGTTCTTCGCAGCTGGAGAGGGAGAGGAGCAGTGAGTAGAATCAACATAGTATAATAGAATTCAGAGGCCTCGACTGCACTATGTTTTGAGAGCGGAGACCTGTGATGTAGACTGCAGAATACTCGATGTCGCCCCACCGTCTCATCGAAACATGAGAGTGCTGCAAGACTATGGCAAAAAAGCCATTAACCGAGAATATAGGTGTAACCATTGCAAGAGCAGCCCCGGTGGCTGCTCTTACGATGGGTAGCATATCTACTAATAGGCACAATAGAGTTCGACTCCTTTCTCTGGTCTGGCTTTTGCACATAACAGCCTTCTCTGGTAACTTTCAAACGTTAACTTTCGCACAAAAGCTGAAACAATCAACTGAGAGTATTGATAGTTGGCATAAATTTGCCGGCACATACACGACTGGATGGTACAACGTGAACAAGTTCGTAGGTAGGCTGTTACCGACCCATATGGAAATATCTGCTCGCATGAACAAAACTACCATTAGACTTACCATTAGATATTATACCTTTCATCATCTCCGCGCGGAAGAGTACTGCACACCTCACACTCAGGCAAGACGGGTTGATGAAATGTTAATTGAATTATTCTTCCAATCAAACTACTTTTCCATTCACTCAGGCGCGACCATGCGTCCTGAGGGCACATCAGAGTTCAAAAATGTATTTTGTACAATGGGACACAAATCCAGGATCTACTAGGGCTCTGTTACCTAGAGAAGCGCCTCACGAGGAAAGGAATTTTCCTGCTGATGCTCTCTCTACACTTCTGAGGCGAGTACACGCCTGTTTCTTGTGACTTTTCCTATTTTTTTACCAGAATTTATATACACATATGAATGCGAATAACATACTAAGATACTAAGAACATCTCTGTGTTTTCCTTCCTGTGAGAGAAATGAATTCTGTGAGAAGTTGAATTGGATAATGTGGTCACCCAAATGAACTTCTTCGCCAAAGTCGACCTTTCAAATGTGAAAAGTGGGACATATCCTGGTGAATCCAACATCCAAAAAATGTTGGTGGTATTATGCGTGTATTATTTGCAAATAATTTTGCATATTTTGTAATTTGCATTTATTAGGTTGTCCGGAAAGTTCTCAGCGTTTTGTGCACCTATTTTTTGTACATTCACTGCTGTTTAAAAACTCTTTCTGCCTTGCTTCTCAGTAGCCCATCTTGTAGAGAATTTCTTGCGCTATCTGATGGTATAATTGCCGTTTCACCATTGCTTGATAAACCCCCTTTTTTCAAGATTTTTTCAAGCATGTGAAAAGACCACTTCGGACGATTTTTTTCTTCGACTATAAATTGGGGCAATCCGCAATCGAAACAGCTCAACAAATAAACCAGGTGGGGGCCCAACAGTGCTAGAGAAAGCACTGTGTGGCAATGGCTCAACAAATTTCGCTCTGGAGATTTTAGCCTTGAAGATGAACTTCATGGCGGTCGACCTAAATCAATATCTAACGAGGATTTTGAGGGGATTTTGAAGGCTGACTCATCCCGAACAGTTCGAGAGATTGCAGAAAAGCTAGGCGTTGGCAAATCCAGTGTTGCACATTGTTTGAAACGCATTGGGAAGGTGAAAAAAAACCCGACAATTAGGTGCCCCACAATCGGAGTGACCGGCAGGAATCGGCACGTCTCGAGGTTCCTTCTTCACTGCTTTTACGCTAAAGAATTGACCCCTTTTTGAACCGATTTGTCACCTGTGATGAAAAATGGAACATGTATGATAACAGGAGACGTTCCGGACAGAGGGTTGGATTTGGACGAACCACCGAGGTAATTTTCAAAGCCGAACCCTCACGAAAAAAAATTCTGGTCAGGTTTGGTGGTCATCGGCTAGTGTAATCCACTATAACTTTTTAACACCAGGCCAAATCAACACAGTAGAACCCTACTGTAAAGGAACCAACAAAGGTATCGAAAATTTTGTCAGCTGCAGCCAGCACTTATGAAAATAAAGGGTCCGATTCCTTTGCATGACAACGCCCGCCCACACGTTTTTCACAAATCACTATCCATAAATTGAACGAATCGGGAGTTGAAGTTCTACCTCACCCACCATATTCTCCAGACCTTTCACCAACCGACTATCACCTTTTCAGACATTTTCAGAAATTCCTTGCTGAAAAATACTTCATCAATTAGGACGAGGCAAAAAAGACCTTCGTAGATTACGTGGATTCTCGGCCACCCAGTTTTTCCTTTTATGGAATTTCTCGACTGCTGTCCTATTAGCAATAGTGTGCTGATTCGAACGGTGCCTATTTCGATTAAATCCGATGAGTATTAAGAAAGTTACGATCGTTTAAAATGAAACACCCAAAACGCTGAGAACTTTCCGGACAACCTAATAATTTCTGTCAAAAACTGCTCCATCCAATAACAGTCAATTCTAGAAAATTAAAACCTAGTTTGTCCATCCAAGAATTGCATGAAACCTTGTCTAAAAAACGCCAAAAATGTAAAAAAAAAGAGAGAAACATGGGCGGTTCTCCAAAAACCGAAAATCGGAGTACTTGGATAAATGGCGTCGCCGCGAATGCGTTAACCTCTACAAGGAGGTTACATATGTTACCCATATGCATAACGTATCGCAGATTCCGCAATCTACGCTTTCTTTCCAACAATTTGAAAGCCTGCATGGGTATACCTAGACAGCGTTGCTGCCACAAAACTCTATGTTTAATTCCTGTCACTCCCTGTCACACTTTAGAGACCGGAGAAGAACTGATGAAAAGAAGCCTCGCTCTTCGTTTCAGGGGTTTCATTTTTTTTCCTGAGGATTGACACGAACACTATGATAGGCCACGTTGAGGAACTAATGAAACGCCTAATTGTTCTGTGAATGCTGCAGTGAATGGTTGATTACAAAGAGAACCCTGTCTTATTCAGACTGGGTAATCTAGGATCGGCCCACAAAGAAATGAAAGTCTATCGGGAATTGGGACAGCTCTAGATGAATCATCGCAACTACCTATAATCTGCTACGTTCGTCTGTTTGTCAGTTTGTCCGATAATTCGACTTTACTCGAAGAGCGGGTCGAAGACGGCAGATGAGGGTGCATAACGATGCTGATGTCGATGTCCTGTTTGCAAAAAGCTACGCATGTAGAAATTTATTGTTGGTCAAAGCTTGAAATTTGCATGCGATTTGCCATCAATCAGCAACTAACAGTTCAAAAGAAGAAAATGTTACCGAACGCATGAAGTGCGAATCTCCCCTGAATTTCCTGCTGCAGGCAAACTACATACTCCCGCTCCCCTTTTCCCCGCTGGACTCATCAAATGCGTGAAATGCACTTCATGGTGTGACTATACGTTGAACAACGACGGCAACGTTCCTTGTTCAACTCCTATCAGTTGTTGTAACTCTCTGTCACCCCCATCGACGTCCATACGTCTCCAACCTCTATATAACTTGCTAAAATCAATGTCTAGATGACGCTTTGTTTCATGAATATGGTGGCCTTCCCATTTTAACACATCTCATCAAGCCTTATCAGCTGTTAACAGTTGTCATACACCAGTATGTTCCTGTCCCATAACCAATATCATGCTTTGGAACCTCCCCACTGCTGCTGTGACCCGCAGTATGGACTCGGTGAACCTCCCCTTCTGACGCCTCTATCAGATCTACCACCTGATATCACTCCTTCTTACACACCAATAATGTCCTCGTCACAGGCCCTATCTACATGGGATCAGCTAGTGGGAATTGATTACAAGTTGATAGGGCCTGTGACGAGTACTGCCATGGTTTTCATGACACACACAGGCAGGCATAATCAGCGGATTGCATATATAGGATACTATGTTCGCCCCGTTGACTTTTTTCTCCTTGTTGTTGTTTCCCATGTATTGCGCTGGCCCAAGTAGGAACACTTTGATGACTATGGGAATCTGGTGCTCATACAGTGAATGTACAACAAAAGAATATACCCTTAAATTCTAACTTTACAAGAGCACTCGTAATTTTGGACAAAACGGACCTTCACCATTCGATTCATCGAGTACGCTACGGAAAACTTTCTAAATCACATTCCGTCGATTCGTGGCTCGTCGAGGAAAACCACGTACGGTTACCTGTGATAATGCAGCAACATTGTTGCAGGGAAGCCAAATCATAAACGACTCAATGCAGCAAATCTGCAGCTGAGGCAAACTCAAACTTTGCTTGTAGTTTCCTTCTGCAATTCCACCAATGCTTGTTTTTCATTTCGTGGCCTTTCAACCCTCCGGATCTGGCTTCTGATCTCATTTTCCCATTGATGTTTGAAATCCCGCGAAAAAGTCTAGTTTTGCCTTTCGGATGAAGTCCGCTATGAGACCGGGTATGACTTCCTCGTATGTGTCGTAGAAAATCTCCTTCAGCGATTCTGTCAGTGATGCGTCGAGACACGGACCAAAGGTTGTACATATCATACCTGCCATTGATAATGGATTCTGCTGTGCTGGGCGGATTGCGTTCACCATGAAGTAC